TGTGCCAGGAACACGGCATGCGCAAGAGACAGTTGTATCAACTCTTTCCCACTAGCCTGTAAGCTCCACCAGGGGAGGGGAAGGTCATATACCCCAGTACCTAGGTGTAGCAGGCACGGACCATGTCTTATCCCCTTGGCATTCACCATTCCCACACATTCCAACGGGTTTTGTCTACAAGGCAGGTTAGAAGTCCCAGAGAGTTGACGCCCCTCCCCCGCTCCAGCGGCCACCACTAATGGATGGGAGTTGGCAGGTAAATGCCTCACGTGGGATGACTCTGAATTGGGTCCAACACTCTCTCCCAGAGGTTCCAGCAGGGTGAGCCCCAGGTGCCAACAGTGGTCACCTGCTCACTAATGCACCTGTACTGCCTTGCTTTCCTATCTCACTTCCCCACTACCCTACCTGTGCTCTCTAGAACCACCTCCTAAATAAACTACTTGCACTTACATACTCCCATAGGATCTGCTTCTGGGGGAACCCAACCTAAAATGCTATGTTCCAGGACAGTACCAGGAACACAGAATTCTATGACAGGCTAGCTACACGGCTACACTGGGGCTCCACAGTGTTATCTCCCTCTAGATGCTTACCCAGGAGACCCTGAGGAGCAACGACCCAGGGTGACACGTTTCCTGGCTGGGAGGTGCCAAGTAATCACAGGTCTACACAACGCTCTGGATCAGAATCAGCAAACCCCTCCTGCGTTGGTGGCATGGCAGCTAGCCACAGGGTGCTCTACTGGGGGTGGGTGTACAGAAAAAGGTAAGATGTGTTCATTTCCACTAAAACACAAAGTGTTTTTCCCATAGATCTGGGTAAAATACAGATCAGGTGGCATCTCCCAATCATACTGTTAGGGAGAATAATACAAGGCTCATGGATTCAGGGTACCCGACAACCTTTCTAAAGGGGCCTCCTGCATTCACGTGTTGATTACAGTTGTTCAGCAGGAGCAGCTGAGGCTCTGAAAGGCTAAGAGCACAGGATCTGATACCCAAAGACAGGTTCTCGCCCCAGTTCTGGTAGCCCCTGGGAGGGCAGCCTTCACCAATAACTTCACTTCTCTGAGCCTCAGTTTCTCCAATGCAAACGGGAATCTCATTTCCTTCTTCACAGGTTGGTTGGTTTGTTTTTCTCCCTTGAGAATTAAAAAGGGAGGTGGTATGTGGTAACTTAAATGCCTGTTAAACCTGAACCTTTAATAACGGGAAGCACAATTACCCTTCCTGTTCTGTTATGTTTCTTTCTGTCATTATGCATAAAAGTCGCCTTTAATTCAAGCCATTAAAATACTCAGGCTGATTTGTTCCCTCCCAGTGACGCAACCCCCATCCCACCACCACCAGAAATCTCCTGGGGCCCTCAAAGGGACACACTACAAGGAATTAATCGTGCAAGGACAAGTTAATCAACCCCAACTGAGACACACACACATGGGGCGGGGGCCGGCGCGGGGGGTATCCTGAACTGTAGCATGGTAGTTGCCATACAAAGTGTATTTGTTATAGAAATGAGCCCAAGTGGCCTCTGTGGGTTGGCCCCTAGGTGGTTTATTTCTTCACGGCAGGCCGAGACCCGTTAGCTCAAAAGCCCGCCAGTGCCAAACTCAAGTTTTTACACATCCAATTATTTAAAAAATAGCCCAAACAAGCACATTTTTAGCGATTTAGAGCCTGCCTGCTTTACATACCAAACCTCCCCCAACAGCTGTTGCCCATTGATAAGACAGGGCCTTATAGTTATAAGGCCCCGAGCCTCTGCTGCCCCTCAGAGCTCTCTGACCCAGAGACTCCTCACTATGCAGCTGAGTGACATCACCTAGACATGCAAGCCCCCTCTCTGATACCCCTCTCGCCACCAGGAGGACCCTTGCCCTCCTCCCCTTCTGTATGGTGGTCCCCAAGGTGCCAAAACCCTCCCTTTGGACAATCCCGTGCTGTGAGGGGTTTCCCTTCTCATGCAACCCCGTCCAAGTGCCGCCTAATAAAGCTTGTGTGTTACTGCCTCTCATGGTCATGTCTTCTTCCTTGATCAGCTCAAAATCCCTGAAGCCCCCAACAGAATTCCACAGACCAGCAGCATCACTGCGGAGCTTGCTAGAAATGGAGCATCTTGGGCCCCACCCACAGACCTACTGAACCAGACTCTGCATGTTAACAAGATCACCATAGCTGTGCACTTTGCAGCTGAAGATTCGCGTGCACATTGCAGTTGGAGACGTGCTGGTCTAGGAGACTTTAACTGGGGATCAGTGTAGCAGCTGAGCTTAATGCGTTAAAGGGATTTGTGTGATAAAGATGTCAACCCCTATTTGGGCTGCTCTCAGCCTCTGCGAGTGTCCACTAATCTATTGCACCAACCCTTCCCTGCTTTTCTCAGTCTATTAAGTAGGCAGGTGTGAAACTGCAGACTACAAGTTGTAACTTCCTTACAAAGGGAAACCCTTATGCTATGGGTCCTGTACACATATGACAAACCACATGTACATACCCCTGCAGTTGGCATGCAGATATATGACCAGATACCATCCCCAACCCCCACCCCATGCAGGCATGCTCCAGTCATACCCACTTAGACATCAGAGACACATCCAGAGCCTCCTGAAGCTTCTATTCTGGGGAATGGGGGCCAAGTGCTAGGTCCTGAAAAGGCACCCCAAAAGAAATCTTTCAGATCCCACCAAATCAAATAAAATGATCTCTTACAAAACACAGTGGGGGGCAGGTGGTGAGAGGCACAGACAGGAGGAGCCAGGAACAAAAGAACCCCTGCTGCACAAAGGCACATTGATCCAGTGAGTGATTCTGAATGAGGCTTGAATCCTCCCATGTGTCAAGGCTTGAGCCCCAAGGCACCATACAGGAGGGAACATCCTAATTATTACCCAGAAAAGCCAGGGTAAGACAAGGGCCATTTGCTTATGCTTAATATATCTGCATTTAGGAATTTATGCATGCTTACAAATTCTCTAAGTCTACCCGGCAATCATGCCCATCTGGGACCTGGAAGTGGCTAAAAAGTGCTTTTCAAACAAAAGATGTCATTAAGTCAATGCCATGAACTTCACTGATTTTTAGGAAAGTATCTCTGGTCCCTATTCAGGACTCATTTACTCCTACTCTGTACACAATTTTAAGCATCTATGAGATTTGATTTCTCAGGCCATAAACAACTATAAGCAACAACTTAGAAATAACCCAGAGAGGTTTAGGGTGAGGTTGTTGCACCAGTCGTACCAAGAAGTACAGAAGTGCCTAAGAACAGCTGACCAGCAAAAAACAAAGAGTAATCAGAGGTTATTAAAAGTACCATATAAACTCAAAAGCATCTGTGGTAGGGATCCTGGGGAATGATACTACACAGCCCAACACTTTCACAATGAGTTCCTGGTCATCAATAATCGTAAGTCCAATAACATTGAATTATATTTAATATTTTCAGTTTAAGAAAGACACTGTTACATTTTATAGATACTTCCATAATAAAACATATTTTTTTAAATGTCAAGGTCTTGACAGAGTTTGGTTTCAATTTGGTAGAAAATACGTTAAAATGAAATAGCACACCCTTCCACAAGAACAGGTAAGTGTGGCACTGCTTTACTAAATCTATTAAATTCTGATTGGCCTGGCATTGAAGCATCCAGAAGTCTCTATCAATTGAGTCCACAGCTTCAGAATATCAATTTAGCCGAAGTCAACTGGGCATCTGCCATGTGCCAGCCACTGTGTTAGGTGCTAAAAACACAAAGATGAAAAAGAAGCAGCCCTTCTCTCAAGGCCAGTTTAACCTGGGAATTCTCAAATGCCGTCGGAATAACAGAGGAGGGAGGGCAGAGTCTATTCAGTATAGTTTGAGTAGGAGGGGCATTCTATGAAAGCTGGGTTCTTGGGAAATGATTTAATGATTTGTGCACGACACAGATGGGGATTCTCTAAGATCTTGCACACTCGAATACTTGTGTTCACCTGGGGATCCCCAGCCCAAAAGAAGGCATCCATAAAGCAATCAGAATCTCTCTCCATTTCTTAACCACAAGGAATAAACAGAATCCAACTGTCTTTAACAACCTCCTCCAGACAAGACAGAGAACAAACGAATTGAAGAATTCACTAACCCTACATTTGCCCAAAGTGAATTGTTCCTAGACTTGAACAAATTGCAGAAATGTGGACTCCCCTCGTGCCCTACCTCTGCTGGGATGAAGAGAACCAAGAGAATGTGGACGCCCTGAACTTCCCGGCTGTATCCTGCCTGATTCCCTTTCAGGGGCTAGCACAGACTGAGGAGAAGCCTTCCTCCACACCCCAGAGGGAGCAGATCAGGGAGCCCTGTGGGTGGCCCTCCCCACAAGGTGAGTGCTGGACGGAAGTAGGTCTTCATGAGTCTCTCTCTGTGACCTGCACACTCACACACACACACACACACCCTTATTGCATTCTAGCCAAACGAAACTTAGACTCACAGAACCTACAAATGGGAAGTGACTGAGAGAACATGCAGAAACTGAGGCCCGCAGAAGCAAAGGCCCTTCTCCAACCCATGGCTCTCTAGGTAACTACTTGAGATTTTTAGCTGCTTTTTCATTGGGAAATTTGCATCAAAACTATATATATTTTTTCCAAGCTGACTTTCCCACCTCTCACGCTATCAAGGTTCCACTTTTGGCAAAGGAATGGAGGAAAGGAAAGATGAAGAAATAAAGGCAGGGAGGGAGGGACTGAGGGAGGGAATGAGGGAGAGGAAAGGAATGAAGTGAAGGAGGAAAGGAGAGAAGGAAGAAAAAAGAGCCAATGAAGAAGGGTGATATGATTCAGTTTACAGCCGTTAGTCTTTCAAAAATATTACAGAAGGAGGCAGTGTCATGTCAGCCTAGAGAAAATCTTAGTGGTAACAGCCTGGGACCCTGGCAGGTCCCCTTCCACATCCATCATGAAGTCAGCCTTCCCTTCCCTCCTCCCCATCTCCTCCTCCCACCACCCCCACCAACCTACCTTCACTGAAGACAAAATCAGAGATGATGTCAAAGGGCTGGATGTGGACTGCGGACAGGATCATGGTGACTGTCTTCTGCGGATCACTGGAGGCTAGTGAAATGGTCTGCTGAGCTTGACACTCATAGGACTTCCCAGCTGGGGTAACCAAGGCAGAGAGGTGATGCGAGTTGGCTGTGTGCTTCCCGGCTGCAGAGAAGGCCCAAAGCAATGGTTAGGCCCCTCTTGCTGGCAGAACTGTCCTTGCTCCTAACCTCGTGTGCCAGATAGTTGGCTCTTGCCTCTCAGCTCCAGACAGCCTCCCATCCTCTGTGCTGCCATGCCATGTTGCCTTGCAGATGCTGGGGCCAGGGCTCTCCAAAGGGCATCCAGTGGTGACGAGGGACAAATACACCCATTCTTTCATGAGCAGGGGCTCCTTAAACATTAACCTGATATTTCCTTTTGGAAGAGGAGAGTGATACCTAAAAACCCAACCCTTTTTACCATATAAAACCTAACGATGGAGATTCCAAAGACACAGAACAGTGAATTGATCTTCCACATTTCACACTGGCCTGCAAAGAATAAAATGTCTTCCTCAACAAAGCATGGCTGATGGCTGGTGCCCTGGGCAGACACCCTGGCACACATATATACCCTTTGGAGGTCTGCCTCCTTTTTCTCCTTTTCTGGCATATGTTTGTTTGTGTTTTCCTCCTTTTTCCCTTTTTTCAGGGGGAGGGGTCTAATTTAATTGGAGGAAATGCTTGAATATAAGTTTCAATGAAGAGAAAAAGATGCTCTTTTTACTGTGAGGATAAAAAGGGGTGAAAAGGGAGAGGTGACGTGTATTCTCTTATGTGCTCAATAAAAATCTTTTCCCAACTCAGGTGTCCAGGTGACTGAAGGCCTCATATGAGTAGATTAGACAATTTACTAAGTTAATTAATTAATTAATTTAAATGTGGTCTTTGATGGCCTGTAGGTGTGAACATTGTTATTTGCGGACTGGATGTTCCTCTTGCCACAGTATTTTTGGAGGATCTGGGTGAGTAGTTGGAGTGATGGGCAGGAAAAGCTAATAAATTAGGAAACGGTTCAGAATCCACTCCGAGGTGGCTGCAGTCGATGACTGAAGATCGTGGGTGAACCCTGCTGCCATGCGCAAAAAGATACGGAAGGGTATCAAATACTGACGGAAAGGGCAAGTCGTACTGCCCCCTTCAAGTTTTAGCGCATGAGAAGAAAAACCAGGGTGCAGAAAAACTAAAAAGACAGCTTTGCCCTTCTCCGTGCTTCTTTAAAGGGCAAATCATAAGAGGTCGTCCTGAAACAGCTAGGGGAAGACAGGCCCTCAAGAGACATCTCATCCAGGATCAGGCCATGGGGGGTAGGCTGGTCCTTGGGCCCAGGGTTCCTTGCGCGTCTACAAGGCCCGAGGTCCAGAGGACCCACCGGCGCTCCCACTTCCTCTGCTTTGGACAGCAAGCCCAGGGTGGACTTCGCCTGGGAGCGCAAAGCCCGGATTGGTTTCCGCAAAATTTCCAAAATTCTTGAGGAATTCGGCCTCCACGCCTGCGCTCTATGCAGTGTCCACGCTTCCCCAGGCTCCCTCCCCAGTCCTGCTAGCCTCTACTCACGACTGACTGCGTCTTTAAAATGGGTCTTCTCGGAGGAGTCGTAAACAAACTGGACCTTGCTCAGCCTCCACGTCGCCTCGGGTCCCTTGGACGTGTTGTGACTTTCCTGCGGAGCGGAGGAGGCGCGCGTCAATCGCCCCCGCAGCTTATCTGGGTGGGGAAACCGAGCGGCGGCCTCTGCCCACATCCACCCAGAGTCTGCGCCCCCTCTGCGCGCCCCGCTCGGAGTTACCTTTACAAACAGCATTTTGAGCGCGTACGCGCGATCCACCCAGAACACCTGCAGCTCCGACTCGTCGTGGCCACAGCGGCCCTTCACCTCAGCTCCCCGGGTTAGTGAGATATCAGCCTGTTCCGTGATCAGCTGGGAACACAGACGCCCCGCACCCGCTCAGCGCGCCCGGCCCCAGTCCGGGCTGTAAAGGGCAGCGCGTCCAAAATCCGGGTTGCACGCCAGGGCGCTCCTTTGCGCGCGCGCGCGCGCGCTCCCAGGTCCGGGAACATGCGGTTAGATGCTCTACGTGCAGACCCCGCCGTTAGGGAAGCAGAAAGAGGGGGTTTACTTTCAAGGCAGGCAGGGCGAGCAGAAGGCGTTACAAGCCGGAACCCCCATGCAGCATTCGGGAGCAGCCTGCAAGGGCGCAGGGGGGAAGGCGGGCGACCCAGGTCTTCATGGGGCCTTTAGAGAGGGTGCCCTTCGCCCTTGGAGCCCTAGGAGCAAGCTGGGAGGGAAAAGGTTCCTTACATCGACATAATTGCTGGCCCACACATCATAAGGGACAATAAATTTGGCTGCAAACTCTGCCATGAGACACGTCGTCCCATTTTCCCGCACCACAAATATATCTTTTTCAGGGTTAGTGGAAAGGCCTGAGAGATTTTCCACTTCTTGCTCTGCCGTGATTCGAGCCATTGTATCTGCGGGAAAAAAAAAATCCTGTCGGTTCGGGGCTCAGTGAATCCACGCAGCTCGGACACAAGGGTGGAGAGATTGTGGTCTGTGGGCTTTGGGGTGACAAAGTTCCCTGCCAGCTGCTGTGCGCTCTGCGAGCCATTTTTCTAACCTAATGCCAACAAATTCAACTCCGTTGCTGTCAATTTGTAATAAAAATAAAATTAAAAAAAATTTTAAAGCGTTACTAATTTGTAACCCGATTGGTCTTTTTCTTCTTCTTAGGTTTTTAAACCAAATCTTTCTTGCCAATGCTCTGACCCCACGAAGCAGGCTCGTATAGCACTCTCTGGGATATGCCATACAGGTGTGTGGCTCTCTAGGGAATTCCCTGCCACTGACGGGAAGGCCCTCTGCCCCCCATCCCCCCCAAAAGAAAAAATCTGCAAAATATAGGGGCCACATTTTGACCTTAAACTACTGACTTTACTATGCCGGTTCTATTCTCTGCAAAGAGTGCACCCTGCCCTCGCGATCGCCGAAACGCTACTCACGGAACAGCATCAGGAGAGCTCGAAGTCTGTCGACGCTGAGAACGGCTCTTCCTCGGAGATCCATACTCGCAGTGCAGCGAATGAGTTCAGATGTGCTGCTGCAGAAGCCGCCCGAGAGGGAATCCCTCAAAGTCGCCGCTGGAGTGAGCCGGGGTGAGCGAGGGGCGGGGGCATCGGGGGGGGGGGCAGCGCGTGTTCTGTACCCGCTGGCGGGGACTTGGTGTCGGATGCCGCACTGACCGATGCAGGCTGAATGCGAGTCAGCTCACTGCAGAGGAATGGACCTCGCGGCGAGGGAGCTGTCCACGGCTGCGAGTGCTGAAAGGATTCGGTTGTGTTGTTGGAGTGGTTGTGGCTTGGCTTGTGCAGAGGGCCAATGAGATTTGCGGGGGCTAAAAATTCTCCCTGAGTCTGTTTCCTGTGCTGCAATTGCATCCGCAAGGATGATTCTGTCCTTAGAAACTTAATAGCACCCTCAGACTTATTCAATATCCCTACCAGGGACAGTTATTAGGTAGTGTAGATACCACATCGCTGGAGTCCTGGCTTCTGAAAATGTATCTGGTTCCTGAAAGAAAACGGCAGAGCACAAATTGTTGCTGCTTTGGAGGAGGAGGAGTAGGCAGGAATAGAGAAGGAAAATGCTATGGCAACAGTTTCCTGCATTTGGAGACATCCCTTTCTCTCTCTTGCTCTCAATGAGCTCATGGGTTTAAAGTTAAATTGGCACCTCTTCAAAAGAGGCCCATCAGTCAATGCAGTATATCCATTCCGGCTTATTTTCTGTGAGCTCTGCTCTCTGATTGTATGAGGACTCTAAACTCCAGGGTCACTCACTCTCACTCGTTATATTGTGACTACTCTGCCAAGAGGAATGTAAGTGAATCCAATGTTTGTGAGGGTTATCTAGGGTCTCTTAGGACAGTAATGTTACATAGTTATGTAAAAACACACACACACACACACACACACACACACTGATATTACTTTACAGCCTCTAATGGGACAGAAAAACACATACTGCTGGCCTAATTCCTATATTTACATTTTTGGTAGCTTGCTTATTTTAAAAAATTTTTTGCTCCATAAATCAGAATATAGATTTTTCAGCAATAGACACGCTTTCCTCATCAATTGTAGCGATGTCCAAATATTTCATTTCTTAGAGGATATTTCATTGTGTGAATAATCAGTAATATAATGTCATAAAATAAACAATGTCATGTTAAGAGGCAAATTGCAAGTATTTTCACGTACATTGTCAAGTTTGATCCTCCCTACAACCTTAGAAGGTAGGCAAGGGAAGATATACCTTATTGTGGTTGTACAAACCCCAAAACTGAGGCTTAGAGAAAGTAAATGACCTTCCCAAATGTCACATGGCCAGGTAGAATTAAAATAGAAAAATCACATGCTTTAGCTTCATAGGGATCATCTTTATTTTTGCTTATACAATACTTTGACTCCAGATTATATTGTATTTTGACTTCCATAAGAATCTTTATTGAATGACCAAATAACAAGTGGAAACCTAAAATCTCTATCATTAATTCACATTCTTGAAATATAAAGAATGCTGTTTTAAGTATAATAATATCCTGACATAATATTTGCTACAAAGAGTTTGTACAATTTTTCTTTCAAACCTATTCCTGTATTAATAATTAGATCAATAGCAATTCAAATTATGAAGCAATGTTTAAATTGATACTGTATGTTTACATCTTTATTTTTATCTCTGTATTTTTATATTGCACTCAAACATTTCTCAAGAACTTTACATAAATGATTATATATAGAAGAATTGAGGCAAAATTGTGATTGATATAAAGTCAATTATTATCGGTTGTGAGTGGAAGTTGTAAAATTTATATGTCTGACAATTTGTCATGTTAGCAATTGTTATTAAACACTTATGTTTCTGTATTACTATAAAAATTAGAAAACAATGACACATATATAATGAAGCATTTATATTCTCTCTCTCTCACTTTCTCTCTCCCTCCAGTAATTTAATGAGGAAAGAAATGGATAGATTTCAGTCTAGGATTCACTATTTATTACTTTTGTGACCTTCTACAGATTTTCGTTTTCCTCAACTAAAAAATTGGGCTCTGGGGATGGCTGGTTAGGCCAAGTGAGCCAATGAATATAAAATCATTCAAAATAAAAGACAAATTAATTTAGTACACAAACATTAACTGAATACCTACTACTTGCACTATGCTCGGTTCTTTGGAAACCTAAAGATAAACAAATACCATTATACAAGTAGAAGAGATATCTGTAAAAGATTATGACAATTTCTCTTGTGATACATCATTGCAAATATCCTCATTTATAGGTTATTAAAAGAGCAACTGAATTAATTGATTATTATCTGCTTTAATAATAAAATACTAGATGGAAGTAGCATTGGTCATTAATCTTAAGTTGTCATAGTTGATTATTGATTTGACTATAAATCAAATGGTGATTCCTTTGAAAATAGTTTCTTTCCATACCTGACATAAATTCTCTCTTTGTTGACACCAGAGAGTACTTGAATGAGTTAAAAGAAAAAAGGAAACAATTTTAACCCTTTCTTCCTGGGAGGATCATCTTCAAAACATAATTAATTTAATGCCCTTTCATGTGTTTAATCTTAACCGTAGCTTAGAAATACTCACTAACTTATTCATCTATCTCCAATGATTCTTATATTGCAATAGGAATTGGATCATACCTACAACTTCTGCCTATTTTCTAATCATCCTTTAAAAAATACTTCAGTTCTTTAAAATTACCAAAGAGGTGATAGAGGAGCAAATCTTACCATTAAATCATATTTTAAAATAATAACAAAGTTTTCCAGAATTTGTTCCATTCTTCATTTCTTGAATAGGAGAGAAGGTAGGATAAACTGACATAAACAGGTACTTATGTGGATGATAGCTGTGTCAATTTTTATCATTGCTGCTGGTGGTCAATACAAAATGTCAGGGGTAAGTGTGACCCAAGCATGTTGGCTTTGGAATCTCGTCTAGATCCTCTAAGTTCTTCAAAAGATTCTCTTCAATTCATGTATTCACTTATTGAATTCGCCTTTATGAATCTCATGCCATTGGATGGTTCCTCTTTCATAGAAGTGGAAGAAAAGGCCCCTACACATACAGAACTTTCAGTTTGGATGGAAGAAAATACACAAATATGTGGGGTGGCCTGACACAAGGTGCACATAGATGTTTAGGGAAAGAAAAAGTAAGAAAGCCATTCCAGGGTGGGGTGGTATTGATCAAAGAAGGCCTCTTGAAGAAGGCGGGTCTTGAGAGAAGTGGACAGATTGACACAGGGTGAAAGGCAAGGAAGGGCAATGCAGATGAAAGAAAGAGATATTAAATAGGCAAGTCAGTGCAAAGATGTAAATGTTCATCCTTCCATGTTTATCAGTTTGTAATAAAGAAGAAATTAGGGCCCCAAACCCACAGTGCTTTATAGACTACATAACCCCTATTTAACTTCTTTATTTGATATTTTCTCCACATATCGCACACGCAAAAGATTGGCATATGCAAAACTTATCCTAAATAAAATTAAATATTCAAATTGTTAGTTGTATCTCTTTATACTTGCACAAGTCATTGATTTGTATTTGTAGAATCAAGAAAGAAAATTACAAAAATCAGGAAAAATGCTAATCAGAAAATGTATTTAAGAGCTTCAAAAGGGGAAAGCTAGGCTTTGTTGCAGCTGAAATTTGGCTCACTGATGTTTCACTCCGCCTTACAGTAAAAATGTACTCTGGCTCTGCTGTCTTCACCATCACCAATCCCCACCCCCAAACACACACACACACACGCGCACACACACACAGTTAATGAGAGCACGCGTGCATAACAGAAGCAGAGATAATTTAACTAAACTGGACAAGATGCACATAGATGTTAAGCCAAAATTACAACTTAAACTCTTTCTTGTGTTCAGCTTATCCCTGAACAATTATTTCATTTACTTTATTCACTGCCTTTGAATACCTTTGGAACCCTTTCTAGTGTAAAGACCCTTTGGGGATAGGAACTGAAAAATAAGTGTACATGAGAATATTTTGTGCATAAATTTCCAAACCCTAGAATATTTGGAAAGAATCATAAAATTAAGTTAGGGCCTCTGAAGCACTCAGCTTGCATGACCTTGGTGAAATTTCTCTCATCCCTTCATTTCATTGCTCCCTCCTACACCTACTTGAATGAAACAAGAGCTGTTTCTTCAATGAGCGTAACCAGTGGAGACAAGGCACCAAAATAATGGTCCTTTCATTGGCAAAGTATGTTCGTGCTAAGTTCTTAGGAAATGTCCTTTTATGAATTCACTTAGAATAAATGCCTTCCCACATTAGGGAATGCAGGGAACAAAGTCCATATGACAAACCCTGAATAAGCAGAAGATGAGGCCAGGTAATCATTCCTGAAAAGTTCCATAGCAAAGAAATTATTTTCATCTTTTGAGCCAGCAATAGTTAACTGTTTTAAAACTCTTTTAAGTTATTTACCACTAGCTTCAATGATTAAGTTTCTAGGCCATGGAGTAAATCCTCTCTGCTTTCCTAGCAGTGAGGAAAATCTTAACTTGGGGGCAGGGGACCTTTCTGTAAAAGACAAGAGTCAGGTGAGAATTTTTAAAAATCCTTTAAAAAGTTTTTTCTCCAAGAAATAACAGCTACCTTAACAGGCTTAATGTTAGGCAAGCTGACGTTCATTTAAAATATGTTGCTACCTGAATTCTGAAATAATGCAATTCCTTAAAATCTCTTTTATGATGTGTCACAGGGGTTGCTTGTCCCCAGTTAACTATTCTTTTAATTGTCCATTTGAGGTTATCTGCATATTCACTTGAAGATGTGTTAGAACTAAGGAATATTTATATTAACTGCCGTTCCGAGGAGGGTCAGGGTGGGGCAGCACGTCTGGTGTGCTTCCAGGGAAGCTTTGCTGGTGCAGAGCTGAGTCCTGGAATGCCCCCAGGGTGTTCTGTTGTAAGTTTAAGACGCTTCTATGACTATTTTTTGGAAAACATTGCAAGATATTCCAGTAACCAAGAAAGGGAAAGAGTCTTCAGTGTATTGGAAAGGCGACTGGAATGGGAATCTGGGAAGCAGTATGTTAGTTATGACTTTATTACTCCACTAGTGACAACTTCTGGGAGGAGTGGCTTCTCCTCTCTCATCTGCAGCACGCCTTTCCTAAACGATCTCCCCAGGACTAAATGCCCCACATCTAAGAGTGACCTTAGTTGGGAAGTGATCTGAGCGTTTCCTTTCAGGGAAAAAAGTACTGGGAATTTCATTATTAAAGCTTAATATCCCAAGGTGCAAGAAGTGTGCGCTGGTCAGGACACACGGACTGTGGCCTGCGGCGTTACCTTTGGGTGGCACCGAGGCAGGTGGGCCTGGCTGCTCAGGGCTTGGAGCTTCGCGCGGCGCTCGGGCGGCAGACTCCAGACCTGACAGCTTTTGCCCGCGCGCAGGAAGCCGCGCGATGCTGCCGGGCGCCTAGCTGCCTGCTCCCCGAGTTTGCGACGAT